TCTTCCGAGAGCTTCTTGGAGTCCTCTTGGGGTGTCTCGGGGGTCTTTTGGCAGTCCCGGGTGCCTCTTGGGGCGTCTTGGGTGCTTTTGCGGAGCCTTTGGGGGACTCTTGGGGGCCTCTCGGGCGCCTCTTGTGGCCTCCTGGCTACCTCTTGGGGCCGTCTTGGGGCACCCTTGAGAGCTTCGGGGCCATCTTGCCATCTTGGGACCATCGTGGAGGAGATCGATTACAAGAGGCGCCGTACTACATCAGGGTCTCCCCAAGAAGGCCAACATGTGGCCGAAACCGCCGAAACCTTACTAAAATCAATGGGCTTGGTCTTCTCGCCGAGGCCTCTTGGGGCGTACTGGGTGCCTCTGGGATGCCTCTGGGGGGCCTCTGAGGGCCTCTTAGGGGGTCTATTGGGGGCATCTCGGGGGCCTCTTGGGCGCCTCATGGGCGCCTCTTGGGCGCCTCTTCGGGCCTTCTGGCCACCCCTTGGGGCCATCTTGGGGCACCCTTGGGAGCCTCGGGGGCCATCTTGGGGCCATCTGGGAGGAGATCGATCAAAGGATGGGAGCTGATTGATGAGGGTTCCCTTCCTCTGGGAGGCCAAACTGCGGCCAAAACTTCAGTAACATCACTGATTGTGGCTTCCTCGCCGAGGCCCAAGAAACCTCTGACACCTCGCGACCCCCTCCAAACCCAGGAGGAGGGGGGAGGGGAAGGGGTCTAGACACCCTCCTAGATTGCAGGCCGTCTAGCTCACTCCCATCCGCTCTCGCAAGACACGAGTAACGCCCGATTGTCAGCAGATGGCTTAGGAACGCCACACGTGCACCAGGCACCCTGGAGGCCCAAGCGTGCCAGGTGCGGCACCTGCTCCACGTGCGCCAATTGTACCGCGTGCTCCAGCCGCGCCCTGTGCGCCAGCTGCGTTGAAGCAACAGGGACCCCAGGTGCCTGGCCCCCGTGGCCCCCTGGCCCCAAGGAGCTCGGGACCTCGAGGCTCCGTCCAGCGACGTGCCGAGCATTCCGCGAGAAGGGCGGCTCTTCCAGGGAGCGCAACGCACGGGCATGGAGGGGCGATCCGTGACATCCCGAGGAGTCGTGAAGCAGGCGAGAGCTCAGAGCAAAGAGGGCCCTGTGCATGCTCCAGATTTGGAGCCAAAGTGCACACATGGTTCGTTTCTAATGATTCGAAGGTTCTTTGATTGTTTGGGGGGCCGAGATCCTTTCATTTGTAATTGTTCTATCCTGGGCCTCTTGCTGGCCATTAGGGGGCCAGGAACAATTAGAAACGAGCACAATTAGAAATGAGCGCGATTAGAAATGAACGACGTGTATGTTTGTATTGTTCTTTGACAGGGATGGTTGGCCTGCGCGCAGCAATCAATATACCCGCACTCCCGCCGTCCCTGTCAAAAGCCAATGCAAAGTGGTCGCGGGGCGCCCGCGCATGGGCCAGATTTCGAGGCAACGTGCATATTGCAGTGTGCTTTGCAAGGGACGGGGAGGGGGCTCATTGGTCCGAGTTGGCTGCCACTCGCCTGGGGGAGGGGGTGTTTACTAATAGGCAGCAATGATCTAGCCCCCTCGCCTGAGCTGAAGAAGGGGGTTGGACGAGGCAACTCGCGAAACCACTCACGCCCGAAAGGGCTGGTCGGATTGTCAGCTTGCTTGCGGCAGCTGCTCTCGCACCTGCACTCGCGAAGCATTGCCGCGCGGCATGCCTTGGATGTCTGACCTGAGCCTGCCTCTGCCCTCCGCCTGTACGGCTGCCCCGCAGCCACTGCTAGAGTGTGGCCTCGCAGCATGCGGCATGAGCGTACCGACTGCTCGAAGCACGACAGGCCAGATGCGTACGTGTGGCGGTTGTGGGCGGGACGTTCCGTCAGTCCTCTCGGTCCTTTCTTTTTCCTATCCAGTCATCAGGGAGGAGGCCATGGAGAGGGAGGAGGATGACGGCGATGTGGGGAGTGAAGGAAGCGGAGGAGGCAAAGGACGACGAGAACCGAGGACGACACCGATGGGTGAAGAGGGGAGCGGAGAAGACTTGGAGGAGGAGGAGGCAGAGAACGACGGACGAGGAGGATGATGATGACGGGGGAGCAGAAGGAGCAGCAGCAGCAGGAGGAGGAGGAGCAGGAGGAGTAGGAGGAGGAGGAGGAGGAACAAGAGGATGCGGAGGAGGAGGAGGAGGAGGAGGAGGAGGAGGAGGAGGAGTTGGCCGGTGCCAGCGAGGACCTCGGCCCCTTGCAGCCGAGCTTCTCCTGCCCACCTCCCGGACCCCTGGGGCCTCCTGCGCACCTGCGCACGGCCTGGGGTGCGGCGAGGCGGGGCGGCCGCCGCGGGTGGGGCTCGCCACCGCTGTGGAACGATGGTGGGCGGTGCCCGACCTCGCGCCCCTTGCACGATCCGACGTCGTGGCGCCAGCCCGGGCACAGTCCTGGTGCCAGGTCACTCGGTGCTGGCTTGAAGTCGGGCCTGTCCCTCTACAAGCGGAAAATTCAAAAATAGTCCCAAAATAGTCTGGGGACGATTTTTGGAGTATTTTTTGACCATGTTTGGCCCGACCTCATCGTAGACCAAGCTTCACATCGAGAGGTGCCAGCCGCCGGCGAAATGTGCCAGGCGGTGTTTCCCTGGACGTGGCTTCCGGTCCACCTGCACGAAGACGCCAGAGCTGGGTGACGGTCGGGTGCCGCCAACATTCGGACATTCAATCCACCTGCGGCGAGTGGCTCCAGCGTGCCCGCGCAGCTTTCTTTTTCTGGTTATTTCTGCGTTCGATCGAGGCAGAGGCAGAGGCAGAGGAGGAGGAGGAGGAGGACGACGACGATGATGAGGAGGAGGAGGAGGACGACGACGATGAGGAGGAGGAGGAGGAGGAGGGGAGTGAAGGAAGCAGAGGAGGTGAAGGACGACGGGAACCGAGGACGTCATCGATGTGGGAAGAGGGGAGGGGCAAGAGTTGGACGAGAAAGATGAAAAGAACGACAGACGAAGAGGATGACGATGACGGGGAGCAGAATTAGCAGGAGCAGGAGCCGCCCTGGCATGACTTTCATGTTGCCCGCTATTGCGTTTTACTTTGCGTCGAGCGCTCGAGCTCCCCTCGCACTCGTTTGCCCACACGCTGCCACGCGGGTTGAAGCAGGAGCAGGGGGGCCAGCCGGTGACTTGGAGGGGGGAGGGGGAGGGGGGAGGGCAAGCTAGGTGCGCTCGCGTCATATCTGACATCCTACCCCTCCTTCCCATCCCTTACCATGGCGTAGATCCCCTCTCTACTCGCACAGTCGGATGTCGAGCAGGACAATGATCCCGAAAGGGTACGCGATGCATTGTAGAGCACGGCATGGCATGGCGTAGAAGAGCACCGCAAAGCGTAGTATCAACCTCGCATTGCATTGCATGCCGTGGCATGGCACGGGAAATGACGCCAACGCTGCAGCGGGAGCACGAGTCGAAACGAGCGGAAGCGCGGAAATGAGGCCAGCGCTGCAGCGGGAGCACGATTCGGAACGAGCGGAAGCACGGAAATGAGGCCAGCGCTGCACCGGGAGCACGATTCGGAACGATCGGGGCCCGGAAATGAGGCCGGCGCTGCAGCGAGAGCAGCATTTTGAAAAACATGCAGGCGAAAACCCAATTCCGGGGAATCCTGTGTGTAAAAAACAGTACGCGGGGGGGGCGAACACTCCCAACCCGTCATCAGGGGAAGGAGGAGAGTAGTATTCATATTGAGTAATTGTGGAGGGGGAGGGGGAGGGGGAGGGGGGGGGGAGGGGGGGGAGGGGGGGGCCCTTGCGCCGAGTGCCCATCGCGAATCTTTCACGACCTCGTGGCGCCAGCCCGAGCACAGTCTTGGTACCAAGTGTTCGGGGTCTGAGTGTCAGGCTAAGCCACTCGATTCCGGTTCAAAGAGGTGTAGCATACCAAGGTTCACGTGCAGAGGTGCCAATCGTCGGTGATATGTGCAAAGCGTTTTTTTCTTTGGCATGGCCTTACCACCTCAGGCATACGTCACTCGATGGGAGAAGTATTTCTTCATCCTCTTCTTCCTGATCATCCTCCTTGCCATCCGCCGCCGCCTTCTCCGCCTCTTTAGCTCCTGATTCTGATTGTGCATCACGTGATGGGGTCATGTAGGGTGTCTGGGGAGATAAGGTGTTACTGCGGCCCGTTGGTTGTTACTGCGGCCCGGTGGGTGTTAGTATGGCCAGGGGTCCTCCGGAGTGTATTAATTATCGAGTACGGTGAAGGGGGGGGGGTCCAAAAAGGCTCCGCCCCCCCCCCTTCACCGAAGAGCCTCTCGGAAGAGCCTCTGGTGCTCTCCGAAGAGCCTCTTGGAGCCGCCGAAGACCTTCTTGCAGCCGCCTAAGAGCCTCTTGGGCTCTCCGAAGAGCCTCGTGGGGCCTCCGAAGAGCTTCTTGGGGCATCCGAAGCGCTTCTTGGGCTCTCCGAAGAGCCTCTTCGGCTCTCCGATGCATTATTTATTATTATTTCTATACTACTACTACTACTACTACTACTACTACTACTCTTACTACTACTACTACTACACTACTACTACTACTACTAACTACCTATTGCTACTACTACTAACTTACTACTACTACTACTACTACTACTGCTACTAACTACTTACTACTACACTACTACTACTACTATACTACTACACTACTACTGCCTACTACTACTGCTCCTGCTACTACTACTACCCTACTACCACTACTACTACTACTACTACATTACTACTACTACTACAACTCTACGATACAACTACTACTAACTACTACAAACTCTACTACAACTACTCTTACGACGACTACTACTACTACTACTACTACTACTACTACTACACTACTACTACGATACTACTACTACTACTACTACTACTACTACTACTACTACTACTACTGCGACTACTACTACTAATACTACTACTACTACTACTACTACTACTACTACTACTACTACTACTACTACTACTACTACTACCTACTACTACTACTACTACTACTACTACCACTACCTACTACTACTACTACTACTACTACTACTACCCACTACTACTACTACTACTACTACTACTACTACTACTGTTACTGTTACTGTTACTGTTACTGTTACTACTGCTACTACTACTACTACTACTACTACTACGACTACTACTACTACTACTACTACTACCCACTACGCTAACGTCTACGTATACGTCTACTACTACACTATAACTACTACTACTCTACTACTACTAACTACTACTAACGTAACTAGCCACTACTACTACTACGACTACTACTACTAACTGCTTTACTTCTACTTCTTCTTCTGACTACTTACTTCTACTGCCACTATGACTGCTTTACTACTACTACTACTACTATTACTACTACTACTACTTACTACTAACTAATACCCTCTACAACTCTAACTACTATTACTACTACTACTACTACTAACTACTACTCTGACTACTACTACTACTACTAACTACTACTACTACTACTACTACTCCTACTACTACTACGACTATACTACTACTACTACTACTACTAATACTACTACTACTATTCTACTATTGCTACCTACTGCTACTACGTCCTACTACTACTACTACTACTACTACTACTACTACTACTACTACTACTACTACTACTACTACTACTACTACTACTACTACTACTACTACTACTACTACTACTACTACTACTACTACTACTACTACTACTACTACTACTACTACTACTACTACTACTACTACTACTACTACTACTACTACTACTACTACTACTACTACTACTACTACTACTACTACTACTACTACTACTACTACTACTACTACTACTACGTCCACTACTACGTCCACTACTACGTCTACTACTACTACTCGTCGTCCTTAGCGCCCTAGGGCTAGCACTCCCTAGTGCCAGTACTTCCTAGGGCTAGCACTCCCTAGCGCCAGTACTTCCTGGCACCCCCTCGGACTAGCACTCCCTAGGACTAGTATTCCCTAGGGCTGGTACTCCTTAGTGCGAGTACTCCCTAGGACGAGTACTCCCTTGGACGAGTACGCCCTAGGGGTAGTAATTCCAAGGACTGGTACTCCCTGGGGCTAGCACTCCCTGCGGCTAGTACTCCGTAGGACTAGCACTCCCTATGAATGATATTACCTAACACCAACACCACAGCACCATAGTACTACAACACTACAGCACCACTACCACAATACCACTACCACAACACCACAACACCGCTACCACAACACCACAACACCGCTACCACAACACCACTACCACAGCATCACTGCCACTACCACAACACTACTACCTACTCACAACTCAACAACACTACCAACACCAACCACTAACACAACACTACCAACACCACACCACTAACACAGCACACCACTACCAACACCACACCACTAACACAGCATACAGCACAACCAGCCACTACCAACACCACACCATTAACACAACATTACCAACACTTCACCTCTAACACAGCACAGCGACCACCACACCATTAACACAGCACTACTACCACGTTGGTTCCAGGTGGGAGTCGCTGTGGCCACTTTTGCCTGCGCGGGAGCGCATTCCCTCAAGGGTTGCGACTCTCTCCAGATCTAACACGAGATACCTTCACACATTACTTTTCATTGAGCGGCCTGCGCGGGCCACGGTAACTCCCATCCCGCCGCGCGACGGGCCACACCAACACCCAACGGGCCACACTGACACCCAACGGGCCACGGTAACCACCGGTCGCCCACCCCAAGGGCCGAGGCCCGGCAGGGGTCCCCCGGGAGCCGAGGATCGAGAACGACGGCTGATGGACGACTTCCTCCTCCTCCTCCTCCTCCTCCTCCTCCTCCAAGCTCCTCCTCCTCCTCCTCCTCCTCCTCCTCCTCCTTCTCCTCCCCCTCCTCGCTCCAGTGCCATCAGAAGTAAGGAAGTTGCTAGGCGAAACGCCAGGCCCGCCCCACCGCTGCGCCTGGTGTGGCGACGAGGCCGACTTGCTCACAGGGCAGCAGGGTCTCCTTCCCCGTCAGGGTCCATTTTTGATCCGATCGATCCGATCCGATATGGACTCCAGCCCCTCGTGCCGATCCGATTCCGACACTCTGGCGATCCGCTGCGGCCCGTTGCCTGCATGGCGTTGCCGTGCATCCTGGCGCCCCGCTTCGCGGGGCCGAGAGGCGGGCTTGACCCGCCTCCCGCAGCTCGGGCCAGGCGGGCGCGCCGCAGCCGCGAGGGCGCAGGCGGGGCGCGCGGCGCCCCAGCGGCCCGAAGGGCGGTGCCCCCGCTGCTCGAGGCGGCGGCGGCGGATCCGTCGCGTCGGGGCCCCGTGCGCTGCTGTCGAAGAAGAACAAACGCTGTGAGCATAGAATTGTGGCGCTCCGCGCGGATGTCTTGGATCGGCGCCTGGGCCCCCAGTCCCGTCCTGGGCACCTCTGAGCTCTGGCCGCGTCCTGCCAGCAGCCTGGCGCAGTGATCTCTACCTGACTG